TTTTTTTCACATGGTAGATCCATTCCTGAGATTCTGACTGAGTGGTCTGTGTCATGGTAGCTGGTAGAGGTCAGATATATATTTTGAAGTTCCCACTCATTTCGACTCAGTCAGGTTTGAGCAGAATTGATTGCTTCTGAGAAAAGAGATTGGAATTTTTTTTATTACCAAGAAGAGTCAAGGGAATTCGGTCCCTCCACTCCCAACCACCCCACAGATACTACTAGGCAAAAGGATGTTCAGTTCAGCATATCCCAAGAGGGAAGTAAGAACATTCTTCCCTTATTTTTACTAGCATAGAATAGCACCCTTCAAACAATACTTTAAAAATATTTAAATGTATGTCTACATTTTACTGCTTCAGAAAGGAGGGGGATGTATGTAACAACAGCGAGGTCTTGACATTCCTCTACTACCAGCACTGCTACTAGTACTATATATTTAAAATTATGTGAAACTTTGTAAGTATTAACTTCACAAGCTGGACACTATACAAGTGCTTTCCCAAGCAACTGTAATACTCTCAAGACCTTTAAAGGGAGAATTTAAAGGGAGAATCGGAGCTTTTGGGAGACACAGTTTGCCCATGGTCACACAGAGAGTAAGTGGCCAGGCCAAATAAACCTCAGAACCGGACTCTCGACCCCGAATCCTGTGTCATGCCATCCTGAGCACCTTCCATTTATTTCCCTTATTTAGCACTGGGGATCTCTTCCGTGAACAAAAATGAACACGCAAGTTAATGTCTATTTGTTCATATAAATCACGGAGGAGCCAAGATATTGTTTCGAAGACTTTACTAAACAGGTTCATTTGGGAAGTTTTGGGGGAGAGGACAGTCATCCAAACAGTGGATAGAAATATTTCTGCCTGTTGCACAGTGGCTAGATAGGCAACCCAGTCGCGGTGCACCCTCTTTATTCCCGCCCCCAACCTCCCAGGGCGGAACCCGCGGCGGCGGCGGCGGCGGCGGCGGCGGCGACCCCGGGGCTGCGAATTACACGAAGTGGCCGCCGCACCACGTCCGCGTGGACGCGCCCCGCACAGCCCGAACCTAGTGCAGATTCCCGGGGGTGATACTTATCTCTTGTTGCCCGGGGCCGGTCCTTAGGCTTCTCAAGTGTTCGAAACTAAATACTGGCTCCCGAAGACTTTGTTGGAAGGGCAATTAAAAGGCTGGATCCCTTTGAATTGGAAGACCTGAACTCCCTAAATTCTTTTGGTTTCTAACTCTCGCCTGTAGTCTTCCCTGTGCCCTAAAAAGTTGGCCCGAAGTTTAAGGTTGCGGGTGTATGTGGAAGCTTGTGACCGTGGCAGGGATCCCAGTTGGGGAGGTTGTAGCAAGGGGGTCGCCACCGATTTCTCCCAGGGTCACATACACACTGGCAGACTCCACTCCAGGCCCGGAATCCACCCGGGCAGGGCTGGCGGGGAGCTGGGGAGCGCCTCTTAGGCTCCGGGATTTGATAGGGAAAGGCGGAGAGGACTGGGGGTGGTACGGCCGACTAGCCAGGATGGGTGACCGACTGCGTGGCCAGCCACTGACCAAGGACAGTAGGGAAGCTAGCGGCCGGCAGGAGTGCGTGTGTGTGTGTGTGTGTGTGTGTGTGTGTGTGAATGCGAGTATGTGAACCTCCCCAACCCCCACCTGTTTGAAATATTTTTAAAATGTCTAAGCCGGTTTATTCGTGTTTCAAAAGTTGCAAATAATTTGGAGTCAAACACGAGTGCATCGCCCTAACTCGTAAGGGCTTTGCTCAGTCAAGGACACTGAACCAAAGGAGAAATTAGACCGAGAGTATGAAAGGGGTGTAAATGGCTTGCTCTTGAGGTCCGGTTTTAGGACCCAACGGGAAGCACTTTGGAATTTCTCCCTTCGGGAAGGAGGGGGTGGGGCGGGCCGGGCGGCAGGCGGCCGCGGGACGCATGCGCGCGCGTCTCCTCCAGCCGGCCGCTGCGCTCCGCGGCGCGGAATAGAATGAACTGTAACAAAACAAGGCTAGCCTTTGTATCTGCTTAAAGGGGCCGCAGGCTCTTCCCTCGATCCTCCTCCCCCAAACCCCGCTCGGCGACCGCGTCTCCAGGGCTCCCAGCAACTGACTGAGAACGTTTCCCTTACCCTCTGGAACAGCCCGCCAGCGAGGAAAGGCGAACCGGGCGGGAAGCAAAGAGGAGACACGGCATTTCTAAGAGGCAAGAAAGAAAGAAAGGAAGGAAGGGGAAAAAATACCCCAAGCGGCGCACAGTGGACTCTGGTCGTGGGGAGCGCGGCCGGGAGCCGAAACGTGGACCAGGAGGCACCGGAATGCAAACAAAGCTCGCAGGCGCCTTTGCAGAGCTCGCGGGGAAGCCGAGAAAGTTTGTTTTATGATGGCTTGAGTGCACGAGTGTGTGCAGGGGAGCGAGGCTGCCAAGTTTCTCTCTCCCGTTGCATTATCTGGGGGGCAGGGGCTAGGGAGATGACTCTCCCATGAACCAGCGGAGGCTTGGGGGCTTGTACTGTGGGGGGCACCTGCCTCTCATTTTATTATTATTTTTTTGGGGGGGAGGAGGGGTGTAACTCATAATGTCGAAAGTGATTCAAAAGAAGAACCACTGGACTAGCAAGGTTCACGAATGCACTGTGAAGCGGGGACCACTGGGCGAGCTTGGGGTGACAGTGCTGGGGGGCGCGGAGAATGGGGAGTTTCCGTATATCGGAGCGGTGGTAGCCTACGAGGCGGCCGGGCTTCCCGGAGGCGGCGAAGGCCCAAGGCTGAGTGAAGGGGAGCTTCTCCTGGAGGTGCAAGGGATTCGGGTGTCCGGCTTGCCCCGCTATGACGTTCTGGGAGTCATCGACAGCTGCAAGGAGGCCGTCACCTTCAAAGCCGTCAGACAAGGTAAGACGGGACGCTCCTCTGGTAGGCGCCCCTAGAAGAGGGTAGCCGAGTGCGGTTCCCCTATTTGCTCCCCCTCACGCCCCCCCGCATTTCCCGCTTTCCTCTGCCAAGCGCAGAATCAAGGGAAATAAAGACCATGCCCCCTGTGGTGGTGAAATACTTTAAGTTGTTGTGAGTTGGTGGCCCACCTGCGTTAGGAAGAAGGGGGGAATCCGTTTGCTCAGAGAAACTCGGGCATGTTTCCCAGGCCTGGCTTGCCAACCTGTTAAATCTCAGCCACTAAGTGCTGCGCAGTTTTGCCAGTGCTTGTGGAGAGTAGGGGAACTGAGGCTGGATAAGGTGCAAGCTGTCCTGGCTTCTTGGACCACCGGTGCAGCAGGCGCCGCTGCCGCGTTCTTTGACCACCTGTCTTCAAACCTGGAGAATGGGTATAAAGGACACTGTTGAAAAATAGTGCTCACCCCACACCTCTCCAGGTGGGTTCGGACATGACGCTTGGCAGTTCCTAAGCCTGCCGCCTGAAGATCCTGCATTCTCCCCACAGCTGAATGACGCATCTATCTCCTACGTGTGGCCCAGTCACGGCATGGGATGGATGGGGGTGGGGTGGGGCGGAGAGTTATTTCTCTCTCAACGTGAATCAGTCCTTTGGAGGCCTCTGTCACTACCTCCTTCATCATCTTCATCATCACCGTAATCGATGATAATCTTGATTACTTTTATTTATTGTTCAGATTCTGTGTAAAATGTTTTATTCATAATCCAAAGAGTGGGTTGTTATAAACCCCATGTTAGAGACAAGGAAACTGCAACCGATGTTGTTTAAATTACTTGTCCAGGGTCACACAAACACTAAAAGTGAGGAGTTGTGTTCTGGCTGCAGAGCCTTAAACCCCAGGAGGAAGAGGTGTGGGATTACTAATCCCCTTGGACTAAAGGAAGGAGGGAGTGGAAAATAATTCCTTTCTTAGTTACCTGGAGAGGAGTGATGACCTCTTATGAGAGGTATTCCATGGCTGACGGTGGTGGGGTGCCTGACATCTCAGTTTTGTGCTGTCTCTCCCTTTATCAGCCCACCACACTCCACTGCCTTAAAGGGATTTCCTTATACAACCAAGCAGTGTGACGCAGGTTCTCCCCTGTGGAAGAGGCAAAGGAGGTGGCTATGTTGAGCGTGGTGAAAAGTTCCCATATGTGCCTGCTGGGCTGGAGGGGTGAGCAGCATCTGGAGGAATGTGTCAAAGGAAAGGAGAGCAGAGATGGTCCTCTCTTGAAACAGGCCTGTTCCAGATGAAACTAAGAGAGGGAGGAGGGAGTTAGAGGGGGCCTTTTGGTAGCTCTGGAAATTCAGCCCCTGCCACTTAGCCTTTGGAAAGCTCTTTCCATTCTAGATTCATCCTCCACTTGGACACCTTCTCCAAGAAGCCCTCCAACATCCTTCCAGGAGAAACAAATCCTCCCAAAGGGCTCCTCTAAATATGTACTTTGTAGTTTTTTTTTTTTTTTTTTTTTTTTTACTTATTCTGAGCTCTGAATTAGGTGTCTTCCTTTATTTTCATACAAGACAGTGAGCTAATTGAATGGAGAGACTGCACCTCACTCATTGCACTCTCCCCAGGTTTTCCTTGAGGCCCCATCTTGCTGCACCTGTGTTCTCATCTGTAGACTGGCTTTCTTGTGGATGTTACGTAAGCTGCTAATATGAGGACAGTGAGCTGAACAGTATCTGGCACATAGAAAGTGTTCAATAAAGATTAGCTATTATTGTTATATTCAAATTGAATTTGAGCAGTTACTTATGATTAAGCCTAGGATTTTAGCGTTAGGAGCCTGGATTATGAATTTAATAATTTGTACTGGTAGACATAATAGAGCTGCAGAGGAAGTACTGACAGTGTCAAGGAATTTGATGGGAACAGCTGCAGGTCTCAGTTCAGAGGCATATGGAGAAAGGACTGGAGGAAGGCCAGGTAGGCACACCTGCCACTGAAGAACCTGCCTGTTCCTCTCTAATAGGTCCTGTTTGGGAACTCGTTTTCATTGGGTAAAATGCTGCATCTGACTGAGCTGTCTACTTCCATCATATGTCAAGATCTGGCAAACACTGCCCCAGGATTGTGTCATAGAAGTTAGGAAGTGTGTTTGGAATCAGACTCCCCTGGGTTGCAAGAAAGCTATTAGTGTCTCTAGGTGTTATTTCCTTCACCCAGAACCCTTCTATGTGTGGTACAGGAGTGTTTCTAGCAAATGTGTATGTATAAATCTATTTGCTCTCCTTGTAATGGGATAGATAAAGAGGTGGATGAGGACATTTGGATGGCCTGGAATTCACAGCAACATGAAAGCTACTATTTCACAGCTCTTAGAACATCTTCATTATAGTAAAGATGGTACTAGAAAACATTTCAACAGTCGTCTGTGGATGTTGTATTGAGACTACAGATTTAATTTAAACTATATGACAGGATCGTTCTTACTGCATCCTTATTGATGTACTTTAATCATACTTGGTGGGTTCATTTTTGGTAAATAGTGAAGGAAAATGTGACTTTTGTGTTGTCTTATGTCCTGAGCTTGCACTGCCAGGGACATGGGTCATTCTGGGTGCTTTGCATGGAAATGTCACGATCTTCTTGTGGGAGACAATTCTGCTGTTTCTGTTTCATGGCAGCTCTCAGGAAAGATACAAAGACCAAAATAGTCTGTAGCAAGTGGTATTATGTGAAGCAGGAATGGATTATGAAAGAATCAAACTAAGTGGATCTACTATTTCAGTTGGAGTAGATTCATTGTATTTTATTTTTTTTGAAGGTTTATTTATGCATACAAGAACTGGGGTGCAGGGGGTGAAAGGATTCACTAGACAGAGCAGGGACAGAACAGGTGGATCTACTGAAAAACACTGCAGAGGGGAGCAGTGGTTGGGTCAGGGGAGATCTGCCACACCATGTGGGTCAGTTCCCTGGCTGCAGTGGCTTCGGAGAGATTCATAGTGCTGTGCTTTAACCACCACCAGGTTGGTTGCACCACCGGGAAAGGCCCATGAAGTAGATTCATTTTAAATGGAGAAGACAGTCTTTTGTCACCAAGGATCTAAGAAAAGATACATATATGTGTTACATAAAGTGTGTTACTTTATATATGTAATAAAGCAATGCATACTTTATAGGTATAGATGTACCTAGAGTAAAAGGCACAGATCATAAGTATATAATTTGATGAATTTAACAATTGTATATGCCTGTATTGTTGTCACACAGTTCAACATAGGAACATTTCTGTTACCTCATAAATTTTGCTCATGAACTTCTCCAGTTACTTCCCATTGCCTCTTCCAGAGGCAAAGCCTGTGTGATTTTTTTTCACCATGGGTTAGTTTTGTCTGTTATTGAACTTCATTTGAATGAAATAATGTCGGATATACTCTTTTGTGTCTAGATTTTTTTCACTCTACAAATTTTTTTGGAGCTCACAAGTCTTTGTGTGTTCATTGTTCTTTTATATTGGTGAGTGGTATTCCATTGTACCCATATATCAGTTTGTCTTTTTGCTTGTCAGTGAACTTTGGACTATTTATCATTACTGGCTATTATGAATAAAGCTGTTATAAATGTTCCAGTTGCTCCACACTCTTTGCTAATCTTTGATCTTGTGTGTATTTTGAATTTTAGCCATTCCAGTGTATGTAGAAAAAGAAAAAAGTAATTAACGAGACTTTGCTATAGGATGTATTTACTAAGCAGTTGCTGTGGAAGTAGAATGTGCTAAGATCTCGGCTAAGCTAGTGCTTTATGGGTATTGTGCTTTTCATGTCCCACAACTGAACTTGTGTGGGAAAGTGAAATTCAGAGTGTTTGGGGAACTTTCCCAAGAGTCAAACAAATGGTAGAAGTGGAGGGAGGCTCAGCTGTACTGGATCCCAAAACCTGTGCTCCCAATTCCTGAGACATTAGATGTCCATTACCGAGTCATTGGGTGTCCAGTGATATTAATGTCACCAGAGAACTGGTTAGAGATACAGTTTCCTGGGCCTCACTCCAGGCTTACCCATTCAAAAACTCAGGGATGTGAAACCCAATGGGTATTTTAAATCCTGAGGTGATTCTGATGCTTCTTCAGTGTTGACTACCACTCCCCTGAGGTATAGGGTGTCACCGAGAATATGACATCAACTAAGGTAGGTCACCCAGTTTCCAGAATAAGCTCTTTCAGTGAGTGCTGTCATCTCCTGCAAGTTACCTCTTTTGGGCTGAGCTTTCTTCATGCCAAAAAGTAAATGGGCATGGCCCTTGAGGTCTTTCATACTCATGAAATGGTGTGGTTCCACGAATAGCCCAGACTCCACAGGTTTATAATGGTGATTGTAGTTTCCCAAATGGGTAATATTATAGGTCATGCTTGCACGAGTTTGTAGGTGAATTCTGTGGTTTTGCAGATTACCTGGGAACTTAACTTGTCGCTCCATGTTTTTTTCAGGCAGAATGGAGAGAATAAATAAGACCCAACTGAAAAACCACAACATCACTGCCAGTCACCTCCTCCCATCTCTGTAATGAGGGAATTATGACCACATGCAATTGAATATAGTCCTTTGTGTCTTTATTTTGTTTTGGAATATATTATGACAACTCTGTAACAAAAAATAATTCTGTTCTTACTTTATTTAATGCACTGTGTCATCTTTCTTGGTTTCCCCCTGAATCCTGTTTCAGGGTCTTTGGGCTTGTTTTCTCTTTACCCTTAGATGGTCACAAAATTAACTCTTGTCTTTAGTGTCTCTTCAGAGGGAACTTCATTGATCACCTCATCAGGTGGCGTGCTGTAAACTTAACAACCGGTTTTGGTAAAGGAGAACAATCTGATTTGTAGCATAATTAGAGTTGGGTAGAGAGACTTAGCCTTCATTCTCCTCAGCCAGCATGACCTGGCCCCAGCTCCTTATGTTTAACATCATCATAGCCTTGTCACAATTTAATGTGTATCTTCATTTTTTCTTCCTT